GATTGTGCACGGTCGTGGACCTTCCAACATAAATCTTGAAATCTTTGTTTGCTCCTTTGATATTTGCCGGGCTTCATAACCAGTTCCCTCTGTTATCTATGTTTGGACTAAGGTTTAAAAGAAGTGATACAACTTCAACTCCATGCGACTAGCCTTTAGCTTCCAGAACATAAAAGATACTTCGTTTACAACATTAACAGAAGTATTTTTGATTTTTCGAATGGGTTACATGGAGAAGAGTAAAGTAAGCTATCTTATTTATCTTATTTCTATTTGTTGTTGTTGTTGTTGTCGTTCTTACCTGCAGTCCAAGCTCCTACTTCCTCTGGTAAGAACTTGCCAGTTGGCTCCTCGAACAGAATCCCAAAAGGACGCTCAGCAGCAGACAAGGATCCCAAGAAGTCCACAACAGTGAACAATCGCTCCATCTGATACACCATAGAGTCAGGGAAGTCTCGTAGATTAACCATGATCTTGGCATCAGGGGAGAGCTTGCTTCTACTCCATTTAATCCTTTCCGACAGCAGCTTGCACATGTCCTGGACTGTGAAGACCTCCCAGTTAATGGAATCGATGGCGAGATCTATCTCGATGATGGGATTGATCAATCCAAGCGATTCCATCTTGCTCAGGCCTACTGGAGTAGTCTTAGTGTCAGGGATACCGTCATTCACTGCTTCCATAACTTCAGTGAAGGCAAACAAGTTGCTGACGTCTTCTCCTCTAGCCACGAGCTCACGAAGAAAGGTGTCGTCGACGCGTGTCATGTGCGAGAAGGCTGCTACGATGATGAACTTGAATCCACACTTTTGCACCTCGTTGTAAATCTTCCACTTGTTTTCTAGCGTGTGCCCTCTCAGCTGACCCACGGTGCTCTCACGGATTGAGTTGTCCAGTACAATCAAGTCCAGGTCTTTCAGTCTAGCTCGCTTGCTTTTCTCCTGGGCAATGCTCTCACCGACCTCTTTTATTACGTCTTCAAATGGCATATTTTAACAAGTTGAAAGCTGAAAAATATTAACGCAAAACATGCTAAGAGATCAACCGAAATACTGGCTTCCAAGTGATAGTCTGTATGTATACTTTGGTAAGTTACCTTCTAACAATAAGACTCGCACCCTTTATCCTCTCCGGGTAGACAATTAATAAAGAAAACCACAGTTTGGAAACAATATATATGATAATTACAGCGGTTTTCTGATGACTATTAGAAACTTGGAGACGAAAGTGTAAAACGGAATTGTTGAAACTCCAACCTCTCTAAAACATTCTTTTAAACAAAAATTAATTTTAGCACTTTAAGCATTCTTCCGAACATTCTTTCTACGGGTATTTTTATTTTATGCGAATTACTCTCTATACTCAAATTTTTAACTTTACATTTTGTCGCAAAAATTTTATCCGTCGAAGACAGCAGAGTGGCAGTCGAAAGTTTTATTCAATTTTATTTCCACCTCTCTCTGCATATATCATACATTTATAGCTAGTCTGTGCTCAGAGGGAGCAGACAGCGAACTTCTTCACAGGTCAAACACTTTATTAGACGTTTCGCCCGTTCGGGCTTCTTCAGTAACAAGTGTCACGTAGGCGAACACCTAAAATGCCAAGCCTTGGCGGTCGTTCACGGGAGGTGGTCACTCTCGAGGACGTAGACCATATTGGGTCAAAATTTGACCTCATTGGCATATGCAACTGCAGAGACTTACTCCATGTTTTAAATGTCTTATTCATGTAAAAATTGAAGTCAATTTCGAAAAAACATCCCGTACTTCGCATTGAGAAATTTCCGTCTCTTGCACAACCCAGGACATGAATGCAGATTTCGCTCTATTGCTGGTTTTCAGGGTCAAGGCATTCAAAATAGATCAAAATAAAAATCAAAACCGTTCAATAGATAATTTATTTCACAGATTCTGGGAAATAAAAGAACGTAAATATGCAAAGACTCTCGCCAAGATTCTGGTCACAGCAATTTTTCTTATGCAAGATATGCGGAGAATTTTTAACCCAAATTTATAGAGATTTGTATGGAGACGCCAGTTGGTGCCCAGCCGTATGAGCACCAAGATGGCGTCCGAAAACCAACAGAAACATCTGTCACTGACTTTTGCAACAAAATCATGAATTTATCCCTCGAGGAACTCCAAAATATTAAAATAATACTTTCTTTAAGACCTGAACTGTTCAGATGACCAAATTCCCCGAAATAGGTCACTTTTTTTAACCATCATGACAGCTCTCTAGGCCGTCATGTAATTGCCGCGTCACGCAAAAGCTTAGAAATTCAAGCGTATTGTATCAGAAAACCAAGAACCCATTCGGGGCGAAAATTTGTATGAATATTAGTTCTCAGTTACTCTTGTACATCATTCAAGTAAAATCTCAGGAAGATCAATAGTTTTGTAATTTGAATTTTAGTGACGTCATGTGAAAACCAGATATTGTCTGTCAAGTGGTTGATTACGGGAGTTTAAAAACAAAAGAAAATTTCAAACTTTTAGCTCAAAAAGTGGTCGCGGTCGCATACGAGAAGTTTTCGCTTACAAGAGGTTCAAAATATAGTATAGTGATTTCACTTACAAACTTTTGGTATTTTGGAAAACTGGTCGCTGAGGAGAGGTGGTCGCCACCGGAGGTTCGACAGTACTTGGAATAAAAATTATCTCTATGAAATAGGCTAAAAATCACAATGCATTCAAAATAACAATTGGAAACAATGAAATTAACGGTGTAAAAAGATAGGCACCAGACCACTAGGGTATTGTGTAATTACAAACGATGATGGAAAGAAAAAGTAATGTCGTAACGAAATCTCAAGCCAAAGCCCTTGAACAAAGGCGGAAAGGCGTTTTCTAGCTCAAAATACCATTCTTCGTACCAGGTTCCGAAAAGAAAGGCCTTTGAATGGTTAATAACAAAATCCTAATTATCGGCCCCTGAACTCCAGTACTGTGTATTATACTCTCAGCCCTATAACAAAATCCTTGATTGAGCCTTTGAACGGTTAATGAGATGAATTATGTTAATTAAGAATACAAAAATAAAAACTTTTTTTGACGACTCAGAAAGGAGAAGTGTTGAAGTGTTAATATGATTGAGTCCATACCTAATTCTATTTCTAAAGTTAAACTCTGATCTTTTATTCAAACCGTGAGGTCGAAGGGTGCAAAGTTGTGCAAAGTGCAAAGCTTCTCTTGTTAGCAAGCGATCGTCGAGGTTATTGTGATCACTGAAACTGCAAATTTGCTTAATGATGACGAAATCAAAATCCGACAAGACAGGAGTTTCCTTGTTAAAGTTTATATATCGCAACCTCACGAGTGTTCTTCTTTGTATTCTCATGGCTGATTTGTGGTTACGAAATCTGACTTTAAATTCGTAATCTAAAGGCTGGTTTCCATATGATCGCGGACGATCGCGGATCGCTGATCGCAGATCTTAAAAAGTTTTGCGATCGTCTGCGATCATATATGGAAACACACTTCTGTGATCGTCTGCGATCCTGCGATCGTGATCGCAGACGATCGTCTGTGATCAATTGCGACCGTGCATCATATGGAAACCAAAGCCCTGCGATCTGCGATCGAAACGTGTCCCATAATATTTTGAATTCCGACCCATGATTCAACGCTTCTTAACAAAGCCCGAATATTCGTTTGTAGCAACCGCTTATTTGTTGTAAACATGGCTGGCGTTGAACAAGGTAACGTTAGTAACGAGGAATTTACGGAGGAAGTTGCGCGATATGAGTGCGTTTACCACCGTAACAGTAAAGATTTCAAAGACAAAAACAAAAAGGCTAACTGCTGGGAAAAAATCGGGGAGAGATTTAATTTATCGGCGGCGGAGGCGGAGATCAAATTCCGCCACATAAGAACTGCGTATGGTCGTTATCTGAAGCGATTGAAAACGCTACCTTCTGGATTGGGGCGAGATGCAGTACTAAGAGAATTTCAAAATCTGGAATAACTCAATCCACATATTGCACACAGGGGTTTTGCTTGCAGCAAAATTTCCTCCTCGACGTCCGCCATGTTGTTTGTTGCGATTTTCCCGTCAGTACAACGCGCGTGTAATTTCGACACTTCCGCTGACTGAAATATATGTAACAGTCGGCTCTGCGATCGTTTGCGATCGTCTGCAATTAGTGTAAACAACTCTCTTTGCGATCGTCTGCGATCCGCAATCGTCTGCGGTCGTCTGCGATCATATGGAAACCAGCCTTAAATATATATAGATTATCCCCGCGCTTTTTTTTCAGACCTTTTATTTAGCACCATTCTCTCATTTTTTCTTCAAGATTTCGTGGCTTAGTGAAAATTAAATTGCCGCCAATGATTTACAATAGTAGGTTTCAAGCCACAATGTTTGATTTCTAAACGAATAATTTACGTTCGAAGGGGATGGAAAATTACTGGATTTGTAACAGTTATGGAAAACTAGAGTGGCATTATTGAATTCTAGTTCTGATTTTCAGAGTTACTCGAACGTGTGGCAGCTCTTATTTCTTGCAGAGTTAACTTGACGGTGGTTATAACTGGAACCTAATAAACATGGATAGTGCAAATCACACTTGTACAATTTAAATTTAAATTTTTGTATATAATTTATACTTTTTAGATTTGTAATTGTAAATGCTATTCCTGTAATTCTTTATTGACTTTTTTTTTATGCTTTTTATACTGGTCACCGATTAATACCAGTCAATCTATATCTTGATCGACTGACCGGTCTTTACCAGGATAAATAAAGTTATTATTATTATTATTATTATTATTATTATTATTATTATTATTATTAACCGCTAGACGAACATTTGGACCAATGGAATCAGCTGTGCAATTCATCCATCGCAGAAACTGGACGTCCCTTCTTTTTTGTTCCTAACTGGCTTATCAGAGAACGGCTACGCTGTAGCGGCCGACTGTATTTTATGGCAAGATTTTCAGGTTTCCTGAGACTTGGAGGCTAAATACAGACGTGGCAGCGGCAAGAACGAAACTGACATAAGACGGTTGTTTACTTCTACACCTAGCTCTTTCCAGTCGAAAGAACTTCTGATGCCAACAATCACATTGCTGTACATCATCAACTGACAAACCACAACATTGACTGGGACTCTGCTCAGTGCTTAACCTACAGTACAAACTATTTTCA